CTGCTGCGGAGCGGGGAACGGGGCGCGGCGCACACTCGCCGCCCGCCCGGCCCCACCTTCCCCGCTTCGGCTTCGCTGTTCGCGGGTCAGCGCTCGGCTTTGGGGGCGCGGGCGCGGAGCCAGCCGGTAGACCAGAGGGGACCTCGCGCCCCTCAGCTTCCTCAGCAGCTGCGGGACGGGGCGGGCAGAGCCCCAGACACCCGGCGGCCAGCGTCTCCATCTCCTCTGACCCCGCGGGCAGAGAGAGCCCGCATCGTCCTGGGACGGCCCGGCCTCTTAGAGAAGCCCAGCCCTGCAGACCCTAACTGTCCTTCCCGGCCTTCCCGGGGGAGACCCTGATAGCCTCCCGCCAGCCCTCTGCCGGGCGGGCCGTGTCCCAGGCGTGCCTGCCTGGGGCACCGGCTCCTCTCGTTCAGCTGCTGCGGCCTCAGGGCTGCTGGGCGAACTCAGTCCGGGTCACCAGTGTGCAGACAGCACCCCATTCGGCTCCGCGCTCCCTCCGCCAGAGCGCTCGCGCCAGTCCCAGTTCCACACGGTGACTTCTTACTACAACGCTTCGTGCATTTACCTGTTACCAGCGGCAGACCTGTGGTCCAAGCTCTGCCGCGAAACCGCCCACCACAAGTTTAACGGTTCAGCTACGGGGTGGGAGGACCAGCCTCAGAAACTGGGGGGGTCCCCAGATCCAGATTGGTACATACCGACCTGTTGGAGTGAATACTCGTGTCTGGCTGTGCTGCATACATTTTCCTCCCACTCTACAGAGGGTGAGACCGCAGCTGGGGAGACTTCAGGATCCCGACGAGCGGTGGGGTTCCTCTCCGCCTCCGCCAGCCCCCTCCCTGGCTCGGGTCCCCTCCTGGTTCCTGAGCTGCTGCCTTAGTGACTGTGCAGAGCCGGACTCTGTCCTGTTGCTCTGCGCGCCCATTCAAAACCATCCCATCTGAGCCGGCGTGCTCTTGGCAAACCTCTTGCCTCGGTAAACTGCAGGTCTCTCCAGTACCGTGTCCCTGTCCTCTTCTCTCCAGCCGCCCTTCCAGAGACCCTTGGAGGTGGGCCGCTGGGTTTGAGGTTTGCTCTGGGGCTTAGGAAATTGTGATTTCTTTTTTTTTTTTTTTTTTTTTGAGACAGGGTCTCGCTCTGCAGTTCAGGCTGACCTTGAGCTCACTTTGTAGCCCAGGCTGGTCTCAAACTTGCAACAATCCTCCTGCCTCAGCCTCCCAAGTGCTGGGATTATAGACGTGCACCACCACACCTGGCTGTGGTTTCTTTAACTGCAGAAGGTTCTGCTTCGGGTCCAGTCTCATGGCAAGACCTGGTGGGGGCTTCCTGTCTTGCCACTCCTGCGGGCTGAGGGTGGGCGGCCGCTGCCCCCTCCTCCCTGCCCAATGGGCCCTCTCTGTGGAAGGGGGAGGGGGTGTACCCATTCGATTTCACGACCAGTTTTTCTGGTCTGAGTCAAGAAGGTTGGGAAAGGCACTGGAGTGGGTGGGGGTGGGGAGTGGGGAGGCTCCTCGGAGCCTCAGGGAGAGGGACAGGGCGGGGGCGTGCTTCCTGAGCCCCTCCGGACCAGCCTGTGCTGGGGCAGACAGGCTGGATGCTCATGCCCACTGTGCTGAGCTGGCAGGGAAGCCACCTGCTAGGGTCAGGACCTGGAGCCCAGCAGAACAGCGAGCTGCGGGATGGACTGCGGGACGGGCCCAGCCTCCTGGGCGTGTGCCTGGCCAGCAGACCGGCCTGCTGCTGCCTTTACTGGGACCTGACGCTCCCCCTGGGTCCCCACGTGGAGGCAGGAGTGATGGGCGTGGTCCGGCCAATCTCTTGGCCAGTGGGGTTTGTTTTCTCTCCCCCCCAGCTCCTCACAAGGGCCGGTTGTGTGGGGAGGGGACAGGGAGCTCCCCCCCACAGACCCTTCTGAGGGTCGGGGCACGTGGGCATGGCCCTTGGAGAGCGTCTTCGGGGGCCTCAGGGTGAGTGTTGGGGCTCAAGTCCTGCTGATTAGTGGGCTTCTTGGGTGACTGGTCAGAGCCCCTCTGAGGCCTTTGTCTAAGAAATGGTTGTGACTCAGTGCCCTTCTGCTGATAGGAGCCCCCTCCAGGGGCGGGGACCAGACCCAGGCCGGGGCACGGGCTAGGCCAGCGCTCTGCCGAGCCGCACCCGAGCCCTCCCCATGTTCTGAGGAGGCTGCTTGGCTCAGTCAGAAGTGACGGTGCTGGGGGTCCCCAGGGAGGGTCTGTTTTGCTTGCAGCCGGCAGTGGCTGACTCACAGGGCGGTGGGATGTGCCGAGGTCACGGTCTGCCCGCCTGTGGTGTCATCAGTGCCATGCTCCGGATGGGTGTCCGGAAGGCCTGGCTCTGGACTCCTGCTTGTCCAGGGGAATTAGGTCGGGAAGACAGGGTGGGCTTTGGGAGCGCGCGAGGTGGGGCCCCCCAAGCTGTGCCCAGCGGGAGGCTCCGCAGCTGTGCTGGCCTGTGTGCGTGTCAGGGTGTGGGGCCGGGCCAGGCCGTACCTCCTGCCGCGTTGAGGAAGTGGGGAGCCAGTGTCAGTGCCAGCGTGCTCACGGGAGGGGTAGTGTTGTGTCGTCCTGTGGGGCAGCCCTTTTACCCCCCTGAGAGAAGCCCAGGCCCAGCGTGGTGCCCCGTGGCTGCAGGGGGCGGGGTCTACTCAGCCGCCTTGTCCCCGTCCTTGTCCCCACCGAGTCCCCACTGACAGTGCCTCTCTCGCAGGGAGACAAGGTCCCTCTGCAGCCATGTCCGCCAAGGCCATCTCGGAGCAGACGGGCAAAGAGCTGCTGTACAAGTACATCTGCACCACCTCGGCCATCCAGAACCGCTTCCAGTATGCCCGGGTCACCCCTGACACCGACTGGGCCCGCCTGCTGCAGGACCACCCCTGGCTGCTAAGCCAGGTGAGCCCCCCATCCCCAGCGAGGACCACGAGTGTGCCAGACGGCTGTCCCAAGGGACCGGTGGGGGCTGCGGGGGCTGAGCAGGGCCTTGGGCTCCCAGCTGATGGGCACTGGAGCACGGCCTTAGAACTAGACCGCTCATTAACCACGCGGCTGGTGCCCGTCAGGCGTCTGAGTTTGAGATCCTCCGTCTGGCAGACAGGCCGGCCTGCGAGCGTGGGGATTAGCGGCCTGTCAGAGGGCATTTGCTGTGCCGCCTGGCATTAGGTGGCCACAGAGACACCAAGGCTGTGTCTGGGCAGTGGAGATCTGGGAAGAGTGCAGGGCCCCGGGGCAGGGCCAGCGCCGAGGGGCGTGGGCTTCCTGCCTGGAGCTGGGGGCTGCCGGTTGGGCCTGATGTGCCGGGGTTCAGATGGGGGTGCGGCTGAGGGCCGGCTCCTCAGCTGTCTGCCACCCCGGCTGTGTGTCCGGCCTCCCTTGGGGCTCGTGGCTGGCCTGTGTTTGAGGGGTCACAGTGGGTGTTTCTGAGGTCCGAACCCTGCCCAGCCCGTCTGAGTCAGCAGGGCTGGGGCTGGGTGGGTGAAGGGTGCGCCGCGCCACGCTGGCTGTGTGGCCCCAGGCTGTGCCTAGACCCTCACCCTCAGCCAGGCGCAAACCCCTGTCCTTGCAGAGCCTGGTGGTCAAGCCCGACCAGCTGATCAAGCGGCGGGGGAAGCTGGGCCTGGTCGGCGTCAACCTCACCCTGGAGGGGGTCAAATCCTGGCTGAAGCCGAGGCTGGGACAGGAGGCCACGGTGAGTAGATGCGGGGGTGGCGCGCGCAGGCGAAGCGACGGTGGCCATGGCCACCTCCAGCTCTGCGGGGCTGTGGCTCTGCCCGCACCAGCGCTTCCTCCCCAGAGAGTCCCAAGAGCGTCCGGACATGATGGCGGCCCCAGTGCCACCAGCCCTGGTGGAGTGGGGCCTGGGGCCTCCAGGAGCCGCTTGCTTCTTTTTCCTTTTTTTTTTTTGGTTTCCTGTCTTTTTGAGGCAGGGTCTCACTATGTAGTTCAGGCTGACCTTGAGCTCACTTTGTAGCCGAGGCTGGCCTGAACTCAAAACAATCCTGGATCCTCCTGTCTCAGCCTCCCAAGTGCTGGAATTAGAGGTGTGTGCCACCACGCCCGACTTGTTTTTGTTTTTTTGAGACAGGGTCTCACTACCTAGTTTGGGCTGATCTTGAATTCATCTCGTAGACCAAGCTGGCCTTATCTGGTAGGAATCTTTCTGCCTCAGCCTCCTAAGTGCTGGGATTACAGGCAAGCACCACCACGCCCAGCCCTGGAGCTGGTTTTTTGTTTTGTTTTGGTTTGGTTTGGTTTGGTTTGTTTTTTTTGTCTCTTTGAGACAGGATCTCACCATGCAGTTCAGGCTGGCCTTTCACTCAGTTTGTAGGTCAGGCTGGCCTTGAACTTGCAACGATCCTCCTGCCTCAGCTTCCCAAGTGCTTGGAGCTGCTTTCTTGCTAGGTTCTGAGAAAGGTCACTGTGGCTCATGTGATGTGCACACCAGGTTTGCGGATGGAGACATCTTCCTCCTTATGGGGCTTCCTTGGAGCAGGGGTTTTGTTACAGAGGCACTGGGGATGGAACTAGGTTCCACTAGGGCCTTGTGCCCGCTTGGTGAGTGCTCTGCAGCTGAGTTACACCCAGGCCCTTTTAGATTCATTTTGCATGGAAGTCTCCTCGAGTGGCCCAGGCTGGCATCTGACCTGCAGTCTTCCTGCCTCAGCCTCTTGAGGGGCTGGGCTTGCCGTCCTGCGCCACATGCCTGGCCACAAAGCTGTCTTCCTGTTTGGGTCCTGGTTTCTGTTTTTTTTATTGTTGTTGTTGTGTTCCAATACTGGGAATCGAACTCACGATCTCACGCTTGCCAGGCAGGAGCTGTGCTGCTGAGCTAAATCCCCAGCCCCGTGGGTCCTGGTTTCTGGTCCTCAAAGGTAGAGAGGGATCCTGCAGTTGGGAGAGTCTGGGGACAGAGGGCCCTGCTCTGCGGGTCCCAGGCTCTGAGCAGGGGGTGATGGGCCAAGGCTGCATGGCGTCCCCAGGCGGTCCTCATGTGCCTTCTCCTCGGATGGCCCTCGGAGGGGGTCGGGGACGGCTGGCTGGCGGGCAGCCGAGGCTCATCAGCTCTGACAGATCGCTGTCTGGTCCCTGACTCAGCAGTGACGCACGGCCGGGCGGGGGGTCGCGCGGGGACGAGGGCTGTCTGGCCTCTGCTGCTGCCAGCGCCGCACTCCGCCTGATTAGCACCGCAGGCTGCCGGCCTCGCGGCTGGACCTGTGAGCAGAAGTCTCCCCAGTGGGCTCTGCCCCACCTGCAGCCCAAGCTCGAGCTCCTCCCTGGCTGTCCATGCCCTCCCCAGGACAGACAAGCAGAGTGCTACCCCCGCAGTACCCTTATCTGAGCTCCGCGATGATCCGTGGCCTGGCTGGGAGGGAGATGACTTCTGATCCTATACTGTATTTATTTATTTTTGAGACAGGGTCAGGCAGTGTAGTCCAGGCTGGCCTTGAATCCATGGCAATCTTCCTGCCTCGGCCTCCCAAGTGCTGGTGTGACAGGTGTGCGTCACCATGCTCTCCTGAGGGCCTCTTGAGCTTAGGGTTCTGGGACCCCATTGTCCGGTTTCTAGAAGCAGTTCCTGGTGTTCAGGTGGTGCTGTTTGTGCCCCCATCTCCTCCTTTGGAGGAGGAGGTGCCGTCTGTTTAAGCTTCTTCGCCCCTCGCTTTCTCGCCAGGTGGGCAAGGCCAGGGGCTTCCTCAAGAACTTCCTGATCGAGCCCTTCGTGCCACACACTCAGGTACACGTGGGTGCGGGCTGGGCCCCTCCCGCCTGTCCCCTCAGGGCGAGCAGAGGCCTCACAGGAGGGGAGAGGCCTGGGCATCCAGCTTTCGGAGCTGCCCCACGGGCCCGAGCAGAGATCCGCAGGGCAGGGTTAGGGCGGGCACCAGGCCATCCATGCGGGGATGAGGGGACGTGGGGGGGTCCCTCCCAGGTGGGGCCCCGTCTGTGGTCCCCGAGGGAGGTGGCTGACGGTGCCCATCTGGACCGGGCGGCAGGGGGGGTCCCCATCAGTGCCCTCACACCGCGTCCTGCTCCAGGCAGAAGAGTTCTACGTATGCATCTACGCCGCCCGCGAGGGGGACTATGTCCTCTTCCACCACGAGGGCGGCGTGGACGTGGGCGACGTGGACGCGAAAGCCCAGAAGCTGTTGGTCGGCGTGGATGGGAAGCTGTGTGCCGAGGACATCAGGAAACACCTGCTGGTGCACGCGCCCACGGACAAGAAAGAGTTGAGTGTGCCCGGTGCAGGGAGGGCGGCGGCAGAGAGGCATCAGTATGCACCACGCCGCCTGCACCCCGCTGTCTGCCACTTCCGCACCAAGCCTGGCAGCTCCGTTCCGCCTCAGTGGCCATGAGTGACGTCCAGGGAGCAGCGTGGGGGCCAGCGGGTGGGGTCAGCAGGGGAGCTGTCACGCTGGGGAGAGACAAGTGGCTATGGGTGGGGAATCAGGGCCCAAGCTGGCCCCTGGGTGACAGCCCCTTCCCTGTCCCACAGGGTCCTGGCCAGCTTCATCTCCGGCCTCTTCAACTTCTACGAGGACCTGTATTTCACCTACCTCGAGATCAACCCCCTGGGTAACGGCTTTGCTGGTGCGGTGGGCAGGGGTCCGTGGCCTCGGGCCCCGGGGCCTGTGGTGACCTGGCCTCATTCTTCAGATACCGGGACTGTGCTGGCCTGGGCCTCATGAGCGCAGGTGCTGGCACCTGGGTTCGCAGTGCCCACGCTACGCCCCGCCATTGTCCTCGTTGGCCCTGCCATGGCCCTTGGAGGCCTCCTGTCCCAAGTGTCCCCACTCCCACCCCAGACTGGTCAGTACTTGGCCCCGGCGGCCTCCAGGCCTCACGGCTGTGAAGGTGGCAGCTGGTATGGGAGGGTCGCGGCCGCTGCTGGCTCTGGCCAGGCCCTCCTGGGGCAAAGTCCAGGCCGCGGGAGGGAAGGAGGCGCTCAGGCTGCTGTGCAGATGGCCGCGTACTGATTTAATTAGCTAAATGGCCGGGAAGGGAGGACTGCTGTCCAGCCAGGGGGCAGGGGCCAGCCGTGCTGGTGGGGGCCCAGCGCCCACAGCTCCTCCCCGGCTGCTTGCCAGGAGGCCAGGCAGAGAAGCTTGGGGATTCGTGCCCATGTGCTCCTTCAGCACTCCGAATTTATTTTTAATCTTTATTATTACATTTTGTTTTGTATTGAGACAGCTCAGTTGTAACCCAGGCTGACTTCAATCCTCCTGCCTTGGCCGCTTGAGTATTGGGATTACAGGCATGGGCTACCATGCCAGGTTTTTTATTTTATTGTATTTTATTTTATGCTACTTTATTTTATTTATTTATTTTTTGGTACTGGGGATCGAACTCAGGACCTTGCACTTGCCAGGAGGATGCTTGTGCCATATCCCCAGTCCTGTTTTGTTTTGTTTTGTTTTATTTTATTTGTCTGTTTGAGACAGGGTCTTGCTATGCAGTTCAGGATGGCCTTAAGCTCAGACTGGCTTCGAATTTACAGTGATCCTCTTGCCTCAGTCTCCCAAGTGTAGCACAGGCTGACCTCGAATTTACAATGATCCTCCTGCCTCAGCCTCCCAAGTGCTGGAATTACAGGCGTGTGCTACCGTGTTCAGCATTTTATTTTAGAAAAGAAGTTTTTTGAGACAAGGTCTCACTGTGTAGTCCAGTTTGGGCTTATTGGGCTTGAACTCACTGTGAAGCCTAGGCTGGCCTCTGACACCTCGTAGTCCTCCTACCTCAGCCTCCCAAGTGCTGGGACTATAGGCATGTACCACTGTGCCCAGTTTGTATTTTATTAATAGATTTTGGTGCTGGAATTGAACCCAGGACCTTGGACATGCTGATAAGCACACACTTTGACTGCACTACACTATGCAAGACACTTTTTTAAGTGACAGGACTTGGGTGGGTGACGGGTTAAATATTTAAAGCAGAAGAGTATAGCATTTTGTCTTAGTTTATTTTATTTCATTTTGAGACAGGGTCTCACTGTGTAGCCCAGGCTGGCCTCAAACTCATGACCATCCTCCTGCCTCAGCCTCTTGAGTGCTGGGATGACAGGTGTGGGTCACCAAACCTGGCTTTGGACTTTATAAGATGTCTGAAAGTTGTCATGGCAATGAATACAGATCTTTCTGTCCTATTAGGCAGAGGGCCAAGGGTAGGAAATCATTTTAATTATTTTTTTTTCCTTTTGTGGCACTAGGAATTGAACCTAAGACCTTTATGATATACTGTACCCCCAGTCCTTTTTAAAATTTGAGAAAGGGCCAGGGATATAACTCAGTGGCACAAGTGCCTGCCTGGCATGCACAAGGTCCTAAGTTCAATTCCTGGTACCAAAAAAAAAAAACACCTAAAATTGGAGACAAGGCCTAGCTAAGTTACTCAGGCTGGGCTGGACCTTGCAGTCCTCCTGCCTCAGCCTCCCAGAGTGTTGTGATTACAGGTGTGCGCCACCACACCCAGCGTAAAACCCGTCCTTTTGCTGTGCTGTGTCTCTGGAGGCTGCTCTGGCCCCTGGCTCATGAGGGACCCACGGGGCTGTCGGGAGAGCTTGGTGTAGGTTCGAGGGTTGCTGGTCACCTGGAGCAGCGGCCAAGTCCGCCGCCTCTGCTTGTCTTGCAGTAGTGACAAGAGACGGCGTTTACGTCCTTGACTTGGCGGCCAAGGTGGACGCCACCGCTGACTACATCTGCAAAGTGAAGTGGGGCGACATAGAGTTCCCTCCCCCGTTTGGGCGCGAGGCCTACCCCGAGGTTAGTCGGGTCGCAGACGAGAGGGCGGTGGCGGGCCTGCCGGGGACAGAGTGACTCATCCAAGGCAGCCTCTGGCCCCCTCCCAGACTGTGTGTTTGGCTGGGGCAGGAGCAGGAGAAGCATTTAATTTGCTTAAAATCCCAGCGGGGTGGGGGCGGGCTGCGCTGGCTTTGAAGCCAAAAAGCCTTTTAGCAGCCAAGCAATCAGCCTCCCGGGGCTCCTGCTGGATCTGCTTGACTTGCTGCTTCTCCGCAGTGATTTCCGGCGGCCTCTGCAGGCCAGCCAGGCAGGGAGTGCTCCTCCCGAGAGTCCTTGTCCTTGAGAGGTGCTCCCGGCAGCCTCTGGGCTGTCAGCGGGGTGCGTGGGGCTGAGGGGCACAGGGGCGCCTGTGTCGTCACCCACTGTAGCGATGGTGGCCTGGATGATTTGGGGACTTGGACATCCGGTCTTGTCCCGGCACGCGGGGCTGGCCCAGGAGGGTGTCCCCGTGGCCACCTGTTGTGTCTGCTCCCCAGGAAGCCTACATCGCAGACCTGGACGCCAAGAGCGGGGCCAGCCTGAAGCTGACCTTGCTGAACCCCAAGGGCAGGATCTGGACCATGGTGGCCGGGGGTGGCGCCTCCGTGGTGTACAGGTGACCGCAGGGGATGCTGTGGGTGGGTCTCTGGGTCCCTGCCTCGCTGTGGCCAGGACCTGCCCGGGGACAAGAGCATGGTGACGTCATGCTGCACGGTCTGCAGCTGTAGGTCTGCTTCAGGATGGTGTGACTTTCACAAATTTTTGTAATACAAGGGGTAGAACCCAGCCAGGGCTTTTTCACTGAGCTGCATCCCCAGCCTTTTAAAACAATTTGAAGTTCCCCAGGCTGAGCTGGATATCGTGGTTCTCCTGCCTTAGCCTCTCAATTTTTTTTATTTTTTGGTCTCAAATTGCAGTTCAGGCTGGCCTTGAGCTCACTTTATAGCCCAGCCTGGTCTCAGACTTGCAATGATCCTCCTGCCTCAGCCTCCCGAGTGCTGGGATTACAGGCGTGTGCCACCATGCCTGGCTCAGTCTCTCAAATGCTGGGATTTTAGGAATGTACCAGCAAGCCCTGAATTTTTGTTTTTGTTTTTGTTTTGTGTTTTGAGCCTGGGCTAGTCTCACATTCTTGGTTCTCCTGCCTGGCCTCCCGAGTGCTGGAGTTAGAGTGCGTAGGGCCGTGTACCCCAGGCAGAAGTGTAACAAGTACAGCGTGTGAACCAGAGCGTGAGAGCTGCCTGGCTCCCCGCCATTCCTCCAACCAGGTGCCCTGGTGGCTGCACTGTTCCGTCATCCTAGGCAGGCTGTGCCTGGGTAAATACTAGTTGTTGAGTTTGGTTTGGTTTTTCTGAGACAGGGTCTTTCTATGTAGCCCAGGCTGGCCTGGAACTTGCAGTGTTTCTCCTGCCTCAGCCTCTCCTGAGTGCCAGGATACTAGTAGTTTATAGAACCACTGGGGTTGCGTCCTATACCCTTCACGGTACAGTAATTGGCAGCTGCTTTTCTAGAAGCATGGTAGCTGCTGCCCTGATGGACGCAGCTCTGCTGCTGCCTCAGTAGCCACGGTTGTAAACAAATAAACAAATGAGAAAAACCACAAAAGGGCCTGGCATATAGCTCAGTGGCATAAGTGTTTGCCTAGCAAGGCTGAGGTCATGAGTTCAATTCCCGGTACAAAAAAAAAAAAAGTAGCCACAGTTGTGTGTGCTGGGTGCCCAGCGGGGCTCCGCAGCGAGCACTTCTGGCAGGTGAGAGCCCGATAGCACCGTTGACCGCCGCGAGAGCCCAGAGTCAGGTCAGCGCCAGCGCGGGTGCCCTGTGCCACAGCTGGCCCTGAGCGCTGTCTCTCCGCAGTGACACCATCTGTGACCTGGGGGGCGTCAACGAGCTGGCCAACTACGGGGAGTACTCGGGCGCCCCCAGCGAGCAGCAGACCTATGACTATGCCAAGACCATCCTGTCGCTCATGACGCGCGAGAAGCACCCGGATGGTGAGCTGCGGGTGTGCCCGGGTGTGCGTGGGCACAGACAGGCTCGCAGACGCTCCTCCCAGGCGGCCCTGCCTGGGGCAGTGGGAGCAGCTGGGTGCCCGGAGTCACGAGGCTGTGGTTCCAGGCTGCTCACGTAACTTAGGGCCTCAGTTTCCCCTACTGCAGGGTGGCAGAGAGGCAGCGCAGCACCTGTCTGTGAGGCCCTGTCCGTGGGATGGGGCGGGTGTTCGGGCCGATGCCACTGACCCGGGCCCTGTGACCTGCCAGCCTCCCCACCTGCCCGGCATCTGTGGCTCCCTCAGGCCACCGGGGCATCCAGATGCCAGCTGGGTTCTAGGGCTTCCTAGGGGAGAGGGAGGGCCCGGGCCCTGGGTGGGTAATGGAGAGGCGCTGGCTGTGTGGCTGTGCCGCCCGCTGCTTCCTGACGCCTCTGAGGGCTGGCCCTTGCCCTGCTGCTGGCCTCAGGGTGGCTGCAGTGCTCGACTCTGATCTCTTCTCCTCTGCCCTCCGGTTGCAGGCAAGATCCTTATCATCGGCGGCAGCATCGCCAACTTCACCAACGTGGCTGCCACCTTCAAGGTATGAGGCATGCAGCGTGCGAGTGCGGAGCGGGGCCCAGCTGGCCCGGGCTCGGCTCCCGGCCCCTTCTCTTGGTTTGTTGGTTGCTGCTGGAGATGGGGCCACCCTAGGTCCTAGCCGGGCTGCTGGGCAGAAGCAGCCATGCCCAGGACCTCAGCCTCTGTCCCAGCCAAGGAAGGCCGAGTTCCGCTTTCCGCCTCCCCAGGACCTTCCCGAGGGGCCTTGCTCACACTGCGGCTGTGGGTGCGCCGCGCGGCTAATCAGAAGGGCTGGGGATGCAGCTCAGGGCACAGGCCCCGGCTTTGTCCCCAGTGCTGGAAATGAAAGATGCCAGTCATCAAGGCTGGCTGACCCGAGTCCCCTTCCAGGTGGCCACTCCACCGTCACGCTCAGGGACCCCGTTCAGGCCACATGTTTTCAAAGTACTAAAGTGGTCAAATTGGCCTTGTTTTTTGTTTTTGTTTTGTTTTTGTTTTGTCTTTTTGAGACAGGGTCTCGCTGTGCAGTTCAGATTGGCCTTGAGCTCACTTTGTAGCCCAGGCTGGTCTTGAACTTGCAACGATCCTCCTGCCTCAGCCTCGGGAGTGCTGGGATTACAGGCGTGCGCCACCACACCTGGGCAGAATGGGCCTTGGAGACCATTGTGTGGAGGAGGCTGGGCCTCTTCCAGTGCTGCTGCCATGGGGGCCCCAACTCCCCTGATGTGGCCACAGGTCTGAAAGTGCAGCCTCTCCATGCTTCTGGTTTTATTTTATCCAGTGCTGGGAACTGAGCCCAGGGCCTTGTACGTGCTAGGCAGGTGCTCTACCACTAACTGCACCCCAGCCCTGTTTTGAGTCTTTTTCTTGTTTTTTTTTTTTTTGTACTGAGAATTAAACTCAGGACCTTACACTTGCGAGGCAGATGCTGTGCCACTGAGCTAAATTGCTGGACCCCTAAGCTTTATTTTGAAGCAGAGTCTTGCTTAGTTGTCCAGTCTGACCTTGAACTTGCGATCCTGCTGCCTCAGCCTCCTGAGTCTTTCAAGTTTCTTAAGGAAATTTTGTCACTGTAGGAAACGGTACCTCTAAGGATCCTTGCATAGGACCCTAACGTTGATCCTCTGCACCCCAACAGTAGTAGGGTCTGAGAACAACCAGAGACAGGTCAGAGACAGGTCAGAAGTGAAATCAGTGGGCCGCGCTGAACAGAGAGCCCTGCACGGCCTGCTCTGGGAGCCTCGACGCCCAGCTGCCACTCCCGCCCCCGCCCTGCCATGTCCCCGGCTGGCCCCGGCTGCTGCTTTGCATCTCAAGGTGTGAGCGAGTGGCCTGCGACCGCCTGGCTCAGCGCGTCCCTGTTGTCCTTTTGCGCTCGCAGGGCATTGTGAGAGCGATTCGTGACTACCAAGGTCCCCTGAAGGAGCACGAGGTCACCATCTTCGTCCGGAGAGGCGGCCCCAACTACCAGGAGGGCTTGCGGGTGATGGGCGAAGTGGGTAAGCTGGGGCTGCGCCCCCCCAGTCCCTGGGGTCCCTGGCGTCCTCCGGGCCGTGGGCTCTGGGTGCTCCTTGCTTTTGGTACTGCCCTCTCCTCTCTCCTGCTTTATTTTGTTTTGTTTTGGCAGTGCTGGGGTTGCCCCCCCAGGCTCTTTGCACTGAGCTGTATCCCAAGCTTTTTCTCCTTTTCTGTTTTGAGCCAGCGTCCTGGTGGGTTGCCCAGGCTGACTTGAACTTGTGCTCCTCCTGCCCCAGCCTCCCAGAGTGCCAGGATGACAGACACAGCCTCTGCCCCTGTCTCTCTATATCCGCATTTGTGTTCTGCCTGTGTTCTCTGTCCCCCCAGACAGAGGGCCTGTCACAGCCTGTGGGGGGCTGGAAAGCATTGCATAGGAAACAAAGCCAGGCTTGGGGGTGTGCACCTGACATCCATGCACTCTGGGAAGCTGAGGCAGGAGGAGCGCAGGTTCAAGGCCAGACTGGACTACATAGTGATGCAGCAGGATCTTGTCTCAAAATAAAAATTAGAAGGGCTTTAGGGATGTAGCTCAGTGTGAAAAGCTTGGGTCCAGTTCCTTGTCATGTAAGGAATGTGCTGGGCGCCCCGCGGGGCCGGGTTTTGTGGGGTCTTCTTTGTAATGTGGGGGATTGAACCCAGGCCTTGTGTGGCGTGCAGCCCGCACCACTGAGCCACACGGCAGCCCTGGGCGCCTAGCTCAAGCACACTTGGCCCATAGAGTTCAGGACACCTCCCGGAATGTCAGGGGTGGCAAAGCAGGGAGGGGTGAGGCGCGGAGGTGACGTCTGAGTACAGGCCTGGAATCATGGGTATGGTAGCGGGACCCGGGTGCAGTGGCACGGGTCACAAGGGAGATGGGCCAGGGAGCAGCACCGGTGACTCACTGGGATCCTTCTGCTTCAGCCTCCCAAGTGCTGGGATGACATGCATATCACTGCCCGGCTAGTGGCTGGTTATAAAGTGCGGCCCCTGCTGCTGAGGTGCTCCTGTGGGGCAGGCCTGCCTGTGGTGCTCTGGAGGGGACAAATGGCAGGACAGGAACTGCACCCTCCCAGCAGAGACAAGCTGTTCTCTTCCTGTTCTCCTCCAAACACCAAACCCCTGAACCCCTTGCCGCAGTGCTGTGTGCTGCTTTGCCCTTGCCTGCTGTGAAAACTTCAATCCGGTCACAGATTGGATAATGTCAGGCACGGTGACTCTGGCCTCCAGTCCCAGCTACTCAGGAGGCTGAGGCAGGAGGATTCTAAGTTCGAGTCCAGCCTGGGTAATTTATTGACTTGGTGAGATCCTGTGTCACACTAAGATAAAACATAACAGGGCTGGGACGGAGCTCGGGGCAGAGCGCTTTCCCACTCCAGGTTTGGCCTAGGTCCTCCAGAAGAGGCCGTGGGGACACAGAGGATGCCATTAGCTCAGAATCTGCCTGGTGTGGTGGCCAGGAGCCCTGAAGCCACCAGGGCTCTCAGCAGGTGGCCCTGGGACGCAGGGAAGGACAGGGGAGGCTCACAGTGGGCCCTGCAGTCCCACTGAGACAGTGTCATCCGGGTCAGCGTCTCCTGGTGTGGGAGGAGGGGATCAAGGACAGGAATTTGCCCTGAGGTGGGAGAGGCCTGAGGGTTGCAGAGGAGCTTTATACCACAAAGCAACCAGGGCTCCCAGTGCGCCAGGTCATCGGCGCTCGCTGAGGTCACCAGTGCTCACCCGCAGGACGAAAGCCGGCTAAATTAAACCAGGAATGGGCCTGCGAGGCGCCGGGCCGCAGTCAGGGTCTGCAGGCGCCTTCTGACCTCTGTTTGACCGAAGGGGTGCATTAGTAGAAGAAAAGGAAGAGCCGTTTTCCAGGCAGGCAGGCAGGCATGGAGCTGTCACGGGGGCCTCCGGCCCCTCGCTGCCACCCCCTCATATGGCGGCCCGGCGGCACTGTCTGCCTGGCGCACGTTAGCTCCAGTCCCAGGCTCCTGGTGTCCCAAGGCCCGGTCGTCTGCGTGTGTCTTCTGCCGCGCTCCCTGTCCGGCTATGCCCCTCTCGTCCGCAGGGGCCTTGGGATAGGTGCTGGGTGGCAGGGCCTGCGTCTGGAGCCCCTGCGTGGAGCTCGGCTGTCCAGGACTTCTCTGGCGTCTCGGTCACCGCCTCTTCTCCCGCCCCTAGGGAAGACCACAGGCATCCCCATCCACGTCTTTGGCACAGAGACACACATGACGGCCATCGTGGGCATGGCCCTTGGCCACCGGCCCATCCCCAACCAGCCCCCCACGGCGGCCCACACCGCCAACTTCCTGCTCAACGCCAGCGGGAGCACGTCGGTAGGTGCCGCCGACCCCGACAGCCCTGCCGTGGCACTCGGAGACGCGCTGGGCGGCGGGTCTCTGCGCAGGCTTCTTGTGCCCTGGTGGTGGTGTGGGGAATGGGAAGAATCACTCAGATTTAAGGGCAGAGTTGAGGGCCAGGGGTCGAGCTCAGCAGCACAGCACCTGCCTGGCAAGTGCAAGGTCCTGCGTTTGATTCCTGGCACACAAAAAAAGCTGTGTTCATCAGCTAGTTATGGTGGCACACACCTGTGATTATGACACTCAGGAGGCTGAAGCAGGCTTACCTCGAGTTAAAGGCTGTCTGATCTACATCGCATGATCCTGTCTCAAAAAAGCCAAATAATGAATGAGTAGCACCAGAGCTGAGTAGAAGCCAGCCCTCCTTGCTGAGCACGAGCCTTGGGCAGGTTCCCCCGCCCGGCCCCCGACTCCCTGTTGTCCCAGCTCAGGAGTGGGCAGATCGTGCTTCTAGAGCGGCTCAGTGGGGTTGGAGCAGCGGGTCGTCCTCCTGAGTGATGTCTTGGGGACGTGGGGAGCTGTGAGCCGCCCAGGCTCTCCCTGTGGTCCTCAGCCCTCTCTCCTCTGCCGCCCAGACCCCGGCCCCGAGCAGGACTGCGTCTTTCTCCGAGTCCAGGGCTGAGGAGGTGGCTCCTGCGAAGAAGGCCAAGCCGGCTGTGCCCCAGGGTGAGTTCCAGGGCTCAGACGGGCTCCCGGCGCCCTGGGCGTGGTCTCCTCCCTCTTCCTGCTGCGGTTCCTCTCCCCTCTCCTCTCCCCTCCCCGCTCCCCTCCTCTCCCCTGCCCCTTCCTCCCCACTCCTGGCCCAGTGGGAAGCAGCTCAGGCCTGCCTGCTGCAGCGGGCCGGGGCTCGGGGCTGGGGCTCGGGGTGCAGGGTAGGAACTGGATGTGAGGACGGTGTGGTTGGAGCCTCCCAGCTCTCCTGAGGCAGAGGGTCGCTCTCTGTCCAGCCCACCTGCTCCCAGTCTGGTCTCCAGGCGGTTGTTTGGGGGCCAGGGCTTAAGGGGCTCCAGAAGTGGTGGACTCAGGGCAGCAGAGGCTGCCCCTGCTCCACAGGCCCCTCCTGAGAGCCCGGCTGGGGAGCGGTCTCGTCCCCCTCCGGGCTGTGCGCCCCTTGCTGATGCAGCAGCTGTGCCAGCGTCCAGGGAGCAGGGATGCCCAGCTGGCTCACAGTGGGCGGCCGCTGCCCGGTGCCCCGGGCTCTGTCGTCTCCCTGCTGTGCCTCGTGGGCCGCTCTCTGTGCCCCTGGCTTGGCCTGTCCTGCCCCGCGTGCCGCCCGGCGGCGCCTGTCCTTGCTGTGGGACACAGAGGCCCACCCTTGCAGCCCGCCCCGCATCCGCCTCCCGCTCCCCCAGCCTTGCAGGTCGCTCAGTCGCCTTGGTCGTTTTCTTTGACAGATTCAGACCCAAGTCCAAGACCCCTGCAAGGTAGGACCCCTGCCCGCCCGTGTGGCCCCGTCGGGGCTTCAGGCCTCGGTGCTGTCCCCACCGCCCTGCTCCCCTCACCCTACGGCCACAGTGTCATCTGCCGCCTTTCCTGCCCCCTCCCGCTCTGGCCCAGCCCGTGTTCCCGAGGAGCAGTGGCGCTGGCCGCCCCGACCACTTCTTAGCCCGGTTCTCCTTGTTGCTGTCACCCCACCCCGCCCAGAGCCCCGAGGCCAGGTGTCCCTGTGGGCGCAGAGCAGGGCGGGCGGGCGGAGAGGGAGGACAGGGACCAGGTCCACGGCAGGGTGCAGGGCTCTGCAGGCACATGTGTGCACTCGGCCCAGGCGATGCGGGCGATACAGCGACGGGCGTCCTTGGGGAGCTCCCGTGCCCGTGGGTCCCCGAGCTCCGGAAGGGGCGGAGGGGACAAAGGTCAGCCAGGTGGCCAGACCTGCTGTGGCCGGAGCAGCAGCCTGGGGTGACAGGGCCTCTCGGGGTCCTCTGCTGCTGGTGGCCGTGCTGCCCCTTGGCCCTGCTCCCCTGTGCTGGGGGGGCTGCTAGGGTTTGGCTCTCGGGCCCGTCCTGGCCTCTGCAGCACACGCTGTGGGGGTGTGTGCACGCGTGCGGCTGTGCACTCCCAGGACAGCACGGCCTCCGACTTAGTCTGCTGCTTGGGCCCAGCCGAGTCCCGGAACTGGCGCCTGGTGACCGCTGTCAGTCTTCTGGGCTTAGACTTCCCAGGGTGGCAGAGGACGCCAAGTGGATTAGGTGGCGTCCTGTGCGGAACACCCACGTCTCACCCCACCCGTGGGTTCAGCTGACAGTGGGCCCCAGTTGTCAGCACCCTTGGGCGCCTTCCACCACAAACCGCTGACCGCTGTGCGGTTGAGAGACTGAGCCAGACTGCGCGTGCCCGGCGTGCCCGCGTGAGCGTGCAGCGGTCCTTGTGGGGCCCCAGCTCGGGTGTTCTCCAGCGCTGGCCCGCGCTGCTTCTCCTGCGGCTCTCTCTGCTCTGTCTTTTGCCCCTCGCCTTCTCCCGCCCTGGCAGAGGGAGGAGGGTGGGACGGGCAGGGGCCCAAGCCCGGCTGGAAGCTCCGCGGACCCTGGTCTCTCCTGGGGCTGCCCTGACCTGGGGTCGCAGGCTCTGAGCCCCTGCGGCTGCTGTCTGCGCAGAGGGGAGGGGCAGAGCGATGAACGGTGCTGGGCGCTGTCCCATGGCCGCCAGCATCGGGAGTGCCGAGCTTTTCTTACTCAGTTACTTTTTAAAAACCTGCTGGGCTGGGCACACCACCAGACGCCTGTAATTCCAGCCGGAACACAGAATTGCAGGTTCGAGGCCACCCCGGGCAACTTAGCAAGACTTTGTCTCTCATAAAAAGTGAAAAGTGCTGGGGTGGTGGAGTACTTGCCTAGCATGCTCAAGGCCCTGGGTTCTATCTCATCTCCTGTGCCACAAAAAAAAGAAAAGGAAAAGAAAATAGTAGGGAGCAGGGCGCAGCGCCGAGGGCCCGGGCTGCGAGTGAGGCCCTTTCTGTGGAGAGGCGCCATGCACCTGCCGGGCAGGTCTCACTTCTTGCTCTCTGCTGCCGTTTTCCAGAACAAGCGAGGCCCCCTCTGGGCCCCCGGGCTCTCGAGTCCCTCTCTGCCATCCCTTTCTGTCTTGAAGAGCTACCATCCAGGAGTGGGGCCTGGAGGGACCCAGGCAGCTCCCCCCGGCCCCCGCCCCCAGTCCCCATGGTCCCCAGGTGTGGCTCCCAGGTGCACCCGCTGTGTCTCCGCCCGCCAGGAAAGAGCGCCACCCTCTTCAGCCGCCACACCAAGGCCATCGTGTGGGGCATGCAGACGCGGGCCGTGCAGGGCATGCTGGACTTCGACTACGTGTGCTCCCGCGACGAGCCCTCGGTGGCCGCCATGGTGTACCCCTTCACGTGAGTGCCCGGGCGCAGCACAGCCCCTTCTCCTCCTGGCCAGGAGGCAGGCCCTGACCTGTCCCCTGTGCCATCCAGGGGGGACCACAAGCAGAAGTTCTACTGGGGCCATAAGGAGATCCTGATCCCCGTGTTCAAGAACATGGCAGACGCCATGAGGAAGCACCCCGAGGTGGATGTGCTGATCAACTTCGCCTCCCTGCGCTCGGCCTTCGACAGCACCATGGAGACCATGAGCTACGCCCAGGTGCGCGCCGTGGCGGGGCCTCTGGGGACAAGGGAGGGGCCTGTAGAGGCCAGAAGTCAGGGCAGCTGGGGCACGGCTGCCCACCCTAGACGACCCTTGTGCTTGAAAAACAAGACCGAAGCTCTTAACAGAAGAGTTTGTTTTTGCATGCTGGGGATTGGGCACAGCGTCTTCGTACTGAACTTCTGCGTAGGGCCGGCGGTATAGCTCAGCGGCACAAGCGCCTGCCTGGCAAGCGCGAGGTCCTGAGTTTGATTCCCGGTACCAAAAAAGAAAAAAAAATTTCTGCCTGGTCCTTTACAAAAAACCTTCTATTTTGAGACAAGGTCTTGCTAAATTGCTAAGTTGCCCAGGCTGGCCTCAGACTTGCAGTTTCCTGCCTCAGGCCCCCGCGTGCAGGGATGACTGACAGGCGGGCAGCCCAGCGCCGGGCGTGTTTGCTCTCGCGGTCTCGGGGTGAGTGTCTCCGATGAGGGCGGCACGTATCCCTTGTGACCCCCCAGGGCGTCTCTGCCGGCTGACCTGCTGCCTTGCCCCTGCGCACGCCCTTGGCCCACCGGCATCGGCGTGAGAGGGGGCGGTGTGGACCTGGGTGGTTTGTGCGCCCGCCCTGCCCTGTGCTGCTGGCCAGATGAGTGAGTTTTCTGTCTGCGCGCGCGCCCGCCACGTGGGCTCACGCCCGCCTGTCGCGGTTGCCGGTAGGCGGGCCCTCCACCGGGGCTGTGCCCCCAGCCTCCTGCCTTGCTTTGGATTTTTGTTTGTTTTTATTTTGTTTTTTGTTCGTTTTTTGAGCCAGTATCTTGCTATGTGGCCCAGGCTTGCCTTGAACTTGAGGCGCTCCACCTGCCTCAGCCTCCCTAGTGCTGGAATTACAGACGTACACCTCCACGCCGGCCTTAATTGTTAACCAAGACTAAGAGTCACCTTCAAAAACACCCATTGTTCATCTATATATCATGGCTTGTTGTTTTATTTTTCTCTTCTTATTTTTGAGACTGGTCTCACTATAGTACCCACGTTGCATTTTCTGAACGTCTAAGCTCAAGTGATTCCCCTGACTCAGCCTCCTGAGTACTGGGATCAGGTCTGTGTCACTGTGCCTGTTTGTTACTGCACTGTTTTCTTTTTCTTTCTTTTTTTTTTTTTTTGGTCTTTTTGAGACAGGGTCTCGCTATACAATTCAGGCTGGCCTTGAGCTCACTTTGTAGCCCAGGCTGGTCTCGAACTCACAACAATCCTCTCGCCTCAGCCTCCCAAGTGCTGGGACTAGAGGTGTACGCCACCATGCCCGGCTGCTGCACTGTTTTCCGATGTGGTACTGACTTGGAAAAGCCCCGTGTCGATCAGGGTGTTGATTCTTTCATTGTCTGAACCCACATGGGCTCACTGTCCCTCCTGGCTGGAGGCACAGAAATGCTTTCATATCCAGTCCACGCAGGAGGCAAGCAGGTGCTTCTGCGACACGAGCCGCCCCCCGCCGTGCAGCGTGCACAGCGGCTGCCCGCGTGCGTGGGCGCCCGCTTGGCACATCCGCGCCCGGCCCTGCTTCCCCACCCACTTACCGTCTTGCCCAGGGTGCAGGTCTGGGGCACATGTGACAGATAATTGGTCTCCCTGAGCCTGGCTTACCCTGTCCACCAAGCTAGTACTGTGCTGCACGCACGCACTTCACCAGTACTCCACCGCACCCACCACGCTCAGACGCAGCGCACACCCACGCAGCGCGCTCACACCCCGCTGTACGCACACGCGGCACACTCACACTCCACCGCACACGCGCACCATGCACCGCCACGCGGGCCGCCCCCCTGCATTCGTGTGCTGTGGGCGCCACGCCAGTCTGTCACCTGCCGCTGTGAATTGTGCCTCAGTGAACGTGTGTGCAGGGTCACTTTGCACCCTGACTTAACTGCTTAACTGTGCCAAGGAGCAGGTAGCTGGAGCAAGCGGTAGTTCTATTTGTATGCTTTTTTTTTCCTTTTTCTTTTTAATTTGACAAGTCTTGTGTTTTGTGACAAGGCCTCACTATGTAGCACAGGCTGGCCTTGAGCTCAGGGCTCCTCCTGCCTCAGCCTCCTGAGGACACTGCCTCACTCAGTGATTATAAGCATGGGCCGCCTCACCTGGCTAGTCTTGGTTTATTGATGAGGCTCTGTACTGACTTCCATGCTGGCTTATTAATTAGTGGTATTTCCGGCAGCAGTGTAGACTGGCCCACCTTGGCCCTGGTGCTCCCCTCCTCCGCTTGCCGGGTGATTCTGTGTTCTTGGTGGAGCCCGCTGACGGGGGAAAGGTGGACTCAGGGTAGTTGGCCTTGCATTTCCCTGAGGGCAGGAGGAGGAGCATTTTCTCATGGACTGCTGCGTTCCTGCTTCTCGGGAACAGCATCTGTTGGTTTGTTTGCCTGCTGATGGGGCTGCCCAAAATTCTGGCGTTAAGCGGCTGAGTTCTGTGTAATTCTAGGCCCGGCTCCTGCGGGAGCGCGGCCGGCACAGCCTTCCGCCGTGCCGTGGGCCATCTCTGCACTCTGTTGGCGTTTCCCTTGCTGTGCAGAAACTGAACTTGGATGCAGTCTGGTTGCTGCTGTTGCCGCTGGAGTCCTGTCTGGGGTCAGCGCTTCCACATTTCGGGCCTCACACGCGGGCCTTGGCGGCGTTTGGAGTTGATTTTTATACAGGGGAGAGGCGGGCCTGCTTTCGTCTTCTCCGGGTGGAGCGCGCTGTTCTCAGCACCGTTTGTCAGCGGCAGTCTTTCTGAGTGTGGGGTTTGGCTGTTTGTCCAGGGCGGAGGGCTGAGTGGTGTGGGTCTGGTTCTGTGTCCTCTGTTCCTGTGAGAATAGTCCGTTGGTGCCAGTCCATGCGCTCTGGTCACTATGCATGAGTGGCTTTTTCAGTGTTGAACAGACATCGGCAGGGCGACACCTAGCCCACCACTTGTTTCTGTAGATACTTTGCTTGGGGGGTGTGACACTTGGTATTGAATTGGGGGCCTTGTACCTGCTGAGCAAACATGCTACCACGGAGCTACATCCCCAGCCGTTTTTTTTAAAATTATGTTATTTTGTTTTGTGGCAGGATCTCACTAAGTTGTCTGGAATTTGTGATCCTCCTGCCTCAGCCTCCTGAGTAGCTGGGGTTACAGGCCTCCGCCAGCCACCGTTCCTGGCTATAAGTGCAGATTTTGGTTAAAAGGCAGCTGTTCTCGTTCGTTCTCTCCTTTTTTTTTTGTTCTCGTACTGCGTTTTCACCCAGAAACTGCGCGGGCTGCACGCAAAGTCGTGGTGCAGTCTCCACGCCACTCGTCCCGGGTCCAGAGCTGCAGAGGGGCCGCGCTGGACTTCCTGGCCTCTGGCCGAGTGTGCAGGCCGAGGTCCTGCTGCCCGGGCCGCCCATGGGGGCGCAGTGGGGGCTCCGCAGGTGGCTGCATGAGCAGCCAGCACAGGACAGGCTGGATTGGGCGGGCAGGACTGTGGGCCAGGTGAGGGCGTGGCCAGGCGAGGGCGTGGCCAGGTGAGGGCGTGGCCAGGCGAGGGCGTGGCCAGGCGAGGGCGTGGCCAGGCGAGGGCGTGGCCAGGTGAGGGCGTGGCCAGGTGACCGCAGCAGGTGACCGCAGCAGGGTGTCAGGAACATCTGTGCCTGGACCCTTGCCCACCCTGGGCTGGGAGGGGCGGGGGACACGAGTCTCAGCATCCGCTCCTCTCCAGGCCCCGAGGCTGGAAGGGGCCTGGGGTGGCGCTGCCCTCGCCTGGCCGAGGCTGCAGGTCATGGGGTCCTTGTTCTAGATCCGCACCATCGCCATCATAGCAGAGGGCATCCCCGAGGCCCTCACGCGGAAGCTCATCCAGACGGCGGAGCAGAAGGGCGTGACCATCATCGGGCCTGCCACTGTGAGTGTCCCCGCTGCGGCCCCAAGAGGCCCCCCGCTCTGGTTCCTCTTCTGAGGGTAGATCTGGGACACGGCTGTTATCTGGGACCTGTCAAGGGGCGGAAGGCATGTGGTTTTGGGGTTTTCGGTGTTGCTCTGCCTTCATGTAACTCTGCCTTCGAGTTTTCCTGTAACTGTCAACCAAAGGAAAATCTAACTGTGGAGAGCTTGCTTCTGACCCGAAGCCTTCACATGAGAAAAAATTGCTCTCTAAACATTTTTGTTGTTGGTTTTTGAGACAGTCTTCCTGTGTAATCGAGGCTGGTCCCAAACTCATGGTGACCCTCCTGCCTCAGCCTCCCAAGTACTGGTATTATAATAGGTTTGTATTAACACTCCTGGCGTATTTTTTCTTGGTTGTTGCATTAAAAATTCCAAGCTAGGTTAGGAAAGTGTTACTTCATTTATACTTCCCTGAGTTGTTAAATTTTAAAAGTTCAAAAACTAAACATTCCAAACTAGGATTGTTTTCCTTTTTTTTTTTTTTTTTTGAGACAGTCTCACTATGTCGCCCAGGGTATCCTTGAACTCGGAGTTATCCTCCTGTCTCAGCCTCCCTGGTGCTGGGATTATAGGTGCACCACCACACCAGGCCCAAGCTAGGAATTTTGAATAGAAAAGCGAGGCCCCTTGGTGCACACCGGTCCTGGGTGCCGTGACCTGGGAGTGAGGCGGGTGACTGAGCCCTGAGTGTCTGGATCGGGAGCCACAGGGCGGGCCACGCTTACGGTCCCTCACTCTCAGCCAGAGGGCTGGGTAGAAGGGGCCCTCGTGTGACCGGCGTCTCCCCGCAGGTGGGAGGCATCAAGCCGGGCTGCTTTAAGATCGGGAACACCGGGGGGATGCTGGACAACATCCTGGCCTCCAAGCTGTACCGGCCGGGCAGCGTGGCCTACGTGTCCCGCTCGGGGGGCATGTCCAACGAGCTCAACAACATCATCTCGCGCACCACCGACGGCGTCTACGAGGGCGTGGCGATCGGCGGGGACAGGTGAGGAGCGCGGCCACACACCCAAGTTCGGGGACCAGGCGCTGCCTCGGGGTGGGGCCTGCGGGGCGCAGCCCAGCCACAGCCCAGGAGAAAGCAACAGTGAGGACTGCGGCTTGGGCGTTGAGCAAAGCGGTGCCCGGGCCAGCGGGTCACCCCGTGTGGCCCTCGGCGTCCAGCCAGGGAGGCTGAGTGCGCTCTCTGTACAAGCTGCCAAGCACGCCCAGCACTTAGCTGTTGGGGTCACTGTTTTGTTCTGTTTCTTGGGTCTTCTTTGAGACAGGGTCTCACTATGTAACCCAGGTTGGCCTGGAATTCGTGGTGGTCCTCCTGCCTCAGCCCCGAGTGGTGGGATTACAGGCGTGCGCCAGCATGTCCAGCCCGTGTTGTTTTATTAGCGGGAGCGGGGCTCGGGGCCCAGAGTGTGTCGGTTGGAGGGAGCACTGCAGCGTTCAGCACATGGGATAAGCACAGCCGAGGCCAGGAGACCAGGGCCCACATCCCTGCCGTGGCCCCGTGGCAGCCCGGGCACATTCTAGCCCGGCAGTTGGACCGTGGCTGCACCTGGGGCTGGCTCCGCGCCTGCTTCCGTGTCCTGTCCCAGCACTGTGAGGGGAACATCACCTGCACCCCGTGGTTTCCAGTAAATGCTTACCTGTGGGGCCAGGTTGGGGAGCGGCTGCCGGGGCCCTGGCTTGGGTGGGGGTGGTGAGGCCCAGTAGAGCGCAGCGCGGAGGGAAGGGTGATGGGGCTGCAGGGCCCCTGGGCGCGGGCCAGGGTTCCCCATGGGCTGCTGAAGCCTCCCAAGTCCACGTTCAAGAGGAAAGGTGGCAGGTTCCATCTTTCTGCTGGCTATGGTGGCGTGGTGCACACCTATAACCGCAGCATTCTGGAGGCTGAGGCAGGAGGATCACTGTGAGTTTGAGGCCAGCCTGAGCTACATAGGAGATCTTGTCTCAGACCAAGGTTCCACCTTTCTGACCAACCTGGACATATTTTGAAACTGCCACACGGGTGCTTCTGAGGACGCCCCCTGCTGCCAGGGAGCCCCTCTGGCCTCGTTCTGTAGACTGTGTTTGCCCTCTCCACCCGCACGGCCCCTCCCCTGAGCCCTGTGCCTGTGCCCCGGCTACCCACAGATACCCCGGCTCCACCTTCATGGACCATGTGCTGCGGTACCAGGACACCCCGGGGGTCAAGATGATCGTGGTGCTCGGAGAGGTAAGACCCTTAGGAAGCTGCAAGGGGAGGCACCGGGCTGGGTGCCGGGCGAGCGCGCTCTGTGGGCCTCCGCCTTCAAAAGCTGTGAAAGGAAATCTAGCTTTTGGTTCCGAATGACACCATCCCGGAGGCGGTGCCATTTCACTGTGTCCCTGGGCGTGGCACGGGCGTCTTCCTGCCAGGGCCATTGGACCTCAGCTCTGTCCTGGCGTTGTGCCCCATGCCTGCCCTGCTGCGACGGCTGAAGTCAGAGGGGCCCTGTTACAGTTTCCTGTGTCCCCAGCCCCTCCTGAGTGTCCCTGCTGCGTCACCTTCTCTGGGTCAGGACTGGGCATCCAGGGCTTCCTGGAGGAGGCCGCTGTCTCCTGGAGCCGTCCGTGTCCACGCCGGGCTTTCCCTGCCGAAACCCTCCTTCCGCTCTTCCACGGGGCCAGGGCTCGAGCCCCCTGCCGCCTCAGGCCCCGGTGTGAACGGCCCCTGTGGCGTGTGGGGCGTCTTTCCCGAGCCACCCCAGGATGGCTCTGCTAACCTAGGCTCCTCCCACGCCCTTGCCCTGCAGATCGGGGGCACGGAGGAGTACAAGATCTGCCGCGGCATCAAGGAGGGCCGGCTCACCAAGCCCGTGGTGTGCTGGTGCATCGGGACCTGCGCCACCATGTTCTCCTCTGAGGTGCGGTCGCCAGGTGCTGGGGCAGCTAGGGTGGCTGGGTGGGTGCTCACGGGGCCTGCGGGGCCTGCAGACAGGCCCTGTCCCCCAAAGTCTTAAGACGTGCCCTTGGGGCCCGAGTCCTCTTCACACCCGGGCAGCCGCGGTGCCTGGGGAAAGCACTGGACCCTGTGCCCGGAGGCCTGTTTCTATTTCCTGTGAGCTCACAGGCGGCGCCACAGCGCCTGGACCCACACCCCACACGCTCCCTGGGGGCCACGCAGGCCACTTCCCCGGACTTCCAGCTCGCGGTTTGTAGGGAGCGCTCATGGCCACTGGGGGTGAGCAGAGCCCTGAGAACGTGCTGGAGCGGAGCCAGGTCCAGGCGCACGCACGCCTGACCTTCCAGCACTGGGGAGGCTGAGGCAGGAGGCTCGACCTTCTGGGTGTGGCCACCAGGCTTTCGTTGTGGCTGCCGTGACTAGATGCCGAGCAGCCTCCTGCGGATCTCTGCCTCGGTTTCCCCTAGGATGAGCATGGCCCACCGTGCTTGCTTAGAGAGTGTGGCTGACGCTGGACGAAGGGCCCCGTGGCCCGGCCCATGCCGGCTGTCCCTGCCCAGCCCGCTGTCGCCCAGGACTCGCTTGGCAGCCTGTGGCCCTTGGTCTCGTTCTCAGGTCCAGTTTGGCCACGCTGGAGCCTGTGCCAACCAGGCGTCCGAAACCGCAGTGGCCAAGAACCAGGCCCTGAAGGAGGCGGGCGTGTTTGTGCCGCGCAGCTTTGACGAGCTTGGCGAGATCATCCAGTGAGTGGCCCTGGGGCGGCCTCTGTCCCTGGCGGCCCCCACGCGTGGTGGCCCGCCAACGCGGGGAGACCCACCTTCGCTGTGCCCGAGGTGGAGGTGTTGGGTGTCCCACTCCCCTCTGCCCTTCCCGAGCCCCGCCCAGTGAAGGGGCCAAGCCCTGGGGCCTTCTCGGCCTGGCCTGGCTCTCGTGGCTCCTGAGTTGTGGCTCTCAGCAAAGGCGTCCACACCCTGCTGTGGTGAGGCTGTCCTCATAAGCTGTCCCCTTGCGCCCCCAGGTCCGTATACGAGGATCTTGTGACCAGAGGCGTCATTGTGCCTGCCCAGGAGGTGCCTCCCCCCACGGTACCCATGGACTACTCCTGGGCCAGGGTAGGTCCCAGGGCATCCTGGGGTGGGCAGGGAGGCTTGGGACCTGGGTGGTGGGGTTGGGTTTGATCCAGTCCAGTTCCCAGCAGCCAGGTCCCCAAGCACAAGTTCAGAGGACTGCGGCAGCTGCGTCCCACGCCGTCGCCCGGCCTGGGAGCTGGGGTCTAGGTACAGGTGGTATCCCCCAGCGTGCAGCACAGGGTCCACGCCGCCTCACTCTCGGGGGCCTTGGTGAAGAGCCGGGCCAGTGTTCTTGTCAACAAGGGCTCTCGAAACCAGCATATCCTAGGGCGGTGGTGCATACCCCTCATCCCAGCACTTGGGAGGCTGAGGCAGAAGAGTCAGAGTTTGAGGTCAACCAGGGTCACTTAGCAAGACCTGGTCTCACACGAACAAAAAATCACTGTGAAACAGGAAAAGTTGGTTAGTCACACTCACTATAAAAGGGACCCAAATAAAGCTGATACCAGTTTCCCCATGAGGTCCAGGTGGGCGGGTTATTTGATGAGACGGGTTTGGCAGGTATGAGGAAGCCTGTCGTCTTGATTAGTTTTTTTTTTTTTTTTTCTCATTGCTGAGACAAAATACTCGACACCCAGAATCAAGGAAGGAAAGGTTTATTTAGCTCACATTTTGTGGAGGTTTCAGTCCATACTCGACTGGCTCCAAGGCAGAGGGGCACATGGCAGAGGCAAACATTCACGGCAGCAGAAGACGGCAAAAATCAACAAAAGGGAGGAGCCCCGGCAGGCAGCCTCTTCCCCTCCCTTACATTGTATGCAAACTGCCCGCCCCAGGGCAGGTGTAGCCCTCACACCCATAATCCCAGCAGTGGACCATGGATCAATCATAACTCTGGAAGCCGCCCGTGACCTGTGATGGCTTTGGGGGACATCCAGACACAACTGTCACACCCGTTGGTTCACCTGTTCCTGGGAGGAGGACACAGGTGTTCCTGCATGTCAGTGAAATGCACAAGTACTGGCGGCCCAGGAATTCTGAGTCCAGACAGCTGCCTCTGAGAAAGGCTTTCAATTTATACAAAGCAACACTTTGAAGAAGTTTTGTTTTTTGAGGCAGAATTTCACCATGTCATTCAGGCTGGCATTGAACATACTCTGTACCCCAGGTTGACCTCAAACTTACAGGGATCCTCCTGCTTCAGGCTCCCAAGTGCTAGGATGACAGGTGTGCGCCGCCATCGCCAGATCCAAGAATTTTTTTCAGTCTTTGTCGGTGGGGTTATTAGTGGATTGTAGTGTGCTTTCGTTTGCTTTTCATAACGAAGTGGGCCCTGTGGGTTTCCATGTCCTGTGTGGTCCCATCAAAGGACATCTGTACTTCCTTCTTGGGAGGAGTCTGTCCGGGAACTGCCAGCCGTGCTTGGCACCTGCGGTTCTGTGCAGTCCCCGTAGCCCTGTGCCTCTGTCCTTGTCTGTGCTCAGGAGCTGGGTCTCATCCGCAAACCTGCCTCCTTCATGACCAGCATCTGCGACGAGCGCGGCCAGGAGCTCATCTACGCTGGCATGCCCATCACAGAGGTCTTCAAGGAGGAGATGGGTATCGGCGGCGTCCTGGGCCTGCTCTGGTTCCAGAGAAGGTGGGCTTAGCACTAGTGACCTTCCCAGACTGATGCGCAGATGGGGTGGGCTTGAGGGGTGACCGGGCCACTGTAAGGCAGAGAGGACGGAGCAGCGACCCCCTTAGAGGTCTCAAGCAACCCCTTTCTCCGGGGACTTTTAAAGAAACAAATGTGAGCCAGGCGTGGTGGTGCACACCTGTAATCCCAGCACTCGGGAGGCTGAGGCAGGAGGATCTTTGCGAGTTCGAGGCCAGCCTGGGCTACAAAGTGAGCTCAAGGCCAGCCTTAACTGCAGAGAGAAACCCTGTCTCGAAAAGACAAAAAAAAAAATGTGGGCGTCAGGCAGCAGGGCAGAGTTGCTGGGGGCATGCGACAGGCTGGGAGCTTTGAGAGCACTGCAGATTCACTCTGCAAACACAAGTCTTGTCCCCTGAATGTTGTCCCCACGGCATCCCAGATCAGCACCCCCATCCCAGCGGCCGGGCAGGGAGGGCCTCGTGCCTGGCCTGGGTCCCCACCCTCAGGTCTAGACCCAGTCTCCACCCTTCGGGGAAGACCGGCTGTGTGACACTGGTGGGGGTGCCACGGGTACCGGTCCAGTCCTGCGCGCAGCACAGGCAGAGCCAGCCGTGTGATACCCGGCTCTCCGCGCCCCGCTGCTCCCTCAGGCTGCCCAAGTACGCCTGCCAGTTCATCGAGATGTGCCTGATGGTGACCGCCGACCACGGGCCCGCCGTGTCTGGCGCCCACAACACCATCATCTGCGCCCGGGCCGGGAAGGACCTGGTCTCCAGCCTCACCTCAGGGCTGCTCACCATCGTAAGCACGGCGTCCGGGAGGGAGGCGGACCCTGGCTGTCGCAAGTGGGGACCTGGCGGAGTCCAGAGAGGAAAGCCAGGCAGGGGCCGAGCGGCGTCCCGTAGCCATCTGCGGAGCTCAGGGCAGGCCTGAGGCCTGAGCCCTGCTCTTCCTCCCCAGGGGGATCGTTTTGGGGGCGCCCTGGACGCAGCCGCCAAGATGTTCAGTAAAGCCTTCGACAGCGGCATGATCCCCATGGAATTCGTAAACAAGATGAAGAAGGAGGGGAAGCTGATCATGGGCATCGGCCACCGTGTGAAATCGGCAAGTCTGGGCGCTCTGCTGGGCGGGGGTGATGCATCGGGGACCCCAGAGCTGCTGATCCCATGCTGCGCACGGAAGCCAAACCCAAGCTGCTGTCTTCCCGTGTCGCTGAGGCCGGTGGTGCCGAACCTGCGGTGTTTGGGCGCGGCAGGCAGCTGTGTGCTGGAGAGCTCTAGAGGGTTCGCCTTTGCCATGTAGAGCCCAGAGCTCCCTGGACAGGCAAGGGCCACACAGCCACCGGCAGGGCAGGCGGCTGGCTCCGAGGGCTTCAGCGCTCTGCCTTCCTCCCCAGAGGCCAAGGTGGCCTGGGACTGGGGAGCGCTGAGTGCCCGGAGGGTCTCTGGGCCGCCCGACAGAGTGTAGGGTTTTCCCTGGGATTTGAGGGTACCCTGCTGCCCACATCCGAGCGGCGCTTGCCTGGTGCAGGTGGGGTGCGGCCTGGCTGGCGGCTGAGCCGAGGCTCCGGGTGGGGTGCTGGTGCCTGGCCGGATCGGCTCGGCAGCTGGGCGCCCCCTGTGGTGGTGAAGAGCCCAGGAGACAGCCATGGCAACGGGCAGCTGCAGGTGGGTGACAGGACCGGAACTCTGGCTCTGATTCCAGATCAACAACCCGGACATGCGGGTGCAGATCCTGAAGGACTACGTGCGGCAGCACTTCCCCGCCACGCCGCTGCTGGACTACGCGCTGCAGGTGGAGAAGATCACCACCTCCAAGGTACCAGCGGGGGGCCGGGGGCCCGAGGGACTCAGCTGGGCCTGGAAGTCGGGACTTCCGGTTCCTCCGTGAATCCTGCAGGCGACTGGCCATCAGCCGAGTCCTTGGCCACACGGGCAAGGGCCTGGGGAGTCCCCAGCTTGTGGGAGGCTTTCTACTGCTGTCAGAATGAGTAGCCGGGAGTGATGGTGCTCTGCGTGATCCCAGCACTCGGGAGGCTGAGGCGGGGCGCCCTGACGGTGGAAATACTGTGAGGGTAGAAAGCGAGGTGACAATCATGCAAGTCCCTTGGCTTCGCAGAAACCAAACCTGATCCTGAACGTGGACGGCCTCATCGGGGTGGCTTTCGTCGACATGCTCAGGAACTGCGGCTCCTTCACTCGGTGAGCGCCAAGCGCCTGTTCCTCCGCACATTGCTTCTGGGGGGTGCAGTTTGAGACTGGGTGTCGCTGTGTAGCCCAGGCTGGCCTCGAGCTGACAGCGATCCTCTTGCCTCCGCCTCCTAATGCTGGGATGACAGGCGTGCACCCCCACGCCCAGCCTCTGCACCAGTTTCTCCTTGTGGTTTCTTCCCAACTGTAAGGGCAGCGCGTGCTCCCAGGATTCAGGAGGTGAAGGGACAAAAGCCGCCCCTCCCCCATCCACACACCTTGCTTTTCCACTTTGGAGCCCGAGCTGCCCCGGGGCGGCGTTAGCGCCCTGTGCTGGGGCGACCTGGGCCGTATCCAGCCCCTGGTGCCTGTTGCAGGGAGGAGGCCGACGAGTACATCGACATCGGAGCCCTCAACGGCATCTTCGTGCTGGGCCGCAGCATGGGCTTCATCGGTGAGTCTGGCCGTGCTTGTGCTCCCAGCCGTCTCGTCGCGGTTCTCTTACTCTCGGGAAGGACTTCACTTGCCGCCACAGGAGAAGGATTGAAACCTGACAGTTCGCTTTTGGGGAGTCCGGGGCAGATCCAGATTTACTTCCCCGCTTCCTTGTGTCCGGTTTATCTTTTTTTTCCTTCTTTCTTTTTGAGACAGGGTCTTCCTGTGTAGCCCAGGTTGGCCTTGGACTCACAGCGATCCTCCCGCCTCAGCCTGCCCAGTGCTGGGGTTAGGGGTGCCCACCATGCCAGCCTCCCTGTTTCTGTGGGCAGCTCTCCCTTCCTCATTCTCTGCCCGCGCTGCCTCCCGGGCCCTGACAAAGAGGTGTCCTCGTTTCAGGGCACTACCTGGACCAGAAGAGGCTTAAGCAGGGGCTGTATCGCCACCCGTGGGACGACATCTCCTACGTCCTCCCGGAGCACATGAGCATGTAGCCGGCCTGGAGGCCTCGCCGTGCAGACAGGAGCTCCCAGAACCAGGGCGAAGACAGCTGGCAGCTGCGGGCGGGGCCCCAGAGAGGCCCCAGACCAAGGCACGGGCCGGCACCATGCAGTCTTACAAAGCGGCTTACTATTTTTTTTTATAAGCATAGAAGTCGAAATCAAGCCTACACACGTGACGTTTGCTGTGCTCCCTGCTGTATTTATTATGCAGAAGTATCCGCCCGCCTTCTGTCCCGGGTGTTCTTCCTGCCGGGGGTTATAATGTGGATTTCGTTCTCCTGTCGGTGAAATTGTTCCCCCTGGGGAGAGAGGAGAAGTTCAGACTTCAAGATACACACAAAGGACCCCTGGTGTCTTGTCTTTCTCACTTTGGTTTCTTCCTTCTGATCTAACATGAACATTGTATTACTCTGATTTTTAAGGATCTTTTTGTATGTTACGTGTTCTGGGTTATTTAGGATCCCACCGACATGTTCACGTCAGTCTGCTGCTGTCGGGTGGGCGGGACCATGGCACCTTAGCCACCGTCACACCTGGTGGAGTGGTGGTATAAGGTGTGACATTTGACACACCTGTGCTTAAAGAAAGCGCTATGCAGAAAGCTGTGAAACCCCCTTTGCACCCTCTGTTGTTGCGGCTGGCTTGTCTGTCGCCGAGTTTGGGCCCCAGGGCTCCTGCCCGGCCCCCAGTGTCAGGGACCCACAGTGATGGAGCGGTTGCACCTCCGTCCTTCTCTGTATTGTCATAGTTTAGTTTGAATAAACTATACAGTAACAGGAAAGCCTGCCGTGGTGTGTGTCTGTGCCTTTCAGTTACACTTTGAGAGTTTGAGTTGTTTCTTTGTTGATCTGTTTATTTTTGAGACAGGGTTTTACTATGCAGCTCAGGCTGACCTTAAACTCACTTTGTAAAGCCAGGCGTAGTGGCGCACGCCTGTAATCCCAGCACTCAGGAGGCTGAGGCAGGATCCTTGGGAGATGGAGGCCAGCCTGGGCTACAAAGTGAGCTCAAGTGCAGCCTGAACTGCATAGCAAGACCCTGTCTCAAAAAGACAAAATAAACACCCAAACAAACGCACTTTGCAGCCCAGGCTGGCCTTGAACTCTCAGTGATCCTTCTGCCTCAGCCTCCCAAGTTCTGGGATTATAGGTGTGCGCCACCATGCCTGCCCACAGGCAGTTTTTAAATGCTGATCCACCTCTTGAAAAAATGAAAATACCAACTTCAAAAAAATATAAAAGTTCTGTCTCCCCTCAACCTGTTATCTCCCTTTTCCTCAGTGAATGGAACCCAGTTTCCCCCCCTGCCTCTGCTGTCAGCTCCAAGGCCTGCTGATGACCTTGTAACAACCCACTCTCCAGCAGACTGGTATTTTAAAAGCACATGAAGCTGGGTGTGGTGCTGCAATCTGTAATCGCAGCACTTGAGAGGCTAAGGCAGGAGGTTCCTTGAAAGTTTGAGCCCAACCTTGGTTACAAGTGAGTTCAAGACTAGACAACTACATAGTGAGACCCTGTCTCCAAAAGACAAAAAAAAAAAAAACAAAACACATGAAGCTGAGCCACTCTTGCTTAAAACTCCCAATTGGCTTTTACTATTGTCTTTTGATGAAGTAGGAAGCCATGCCTTTGAACCTAACCCTAAGCAGAACGTTTCACTCTGCAAAAACTCATTTACAGTGTCACTCTCTGTGTTGCAGATTTCACCCTGGGAAGCATGAGGATTTATTTTAGGTTACACTAACTAGCAGTCTTGTGTCCAAAAGGCTGAACCCAGAACAAAGAAAGGGCTCCAGTTTTTTTTTGTGTGTGTGGGTGTTTGGGATCAAACCCAGGGCCCTGTGCATGCAAGGCAACAGCTCTGCCACTGAGCCACATCTGTAGCCCCCAGGCTCCAGTTTTACGCATGCTGAGAAAGTTAGTCTCTTTAACTGCAAAACTTGTGGGCAGGCAAGCAAGTTTGCAGGAGAACAAAAGCAGTTTGTCAAGCTGTGACACGGGAACAGGTCATAAAACTTACAGGGACAAGCCGGGTGAGGTGG